TTTTTCAGTATTTATGTTTTTATGGTATTTCCTTAAGTAATTCAAAGCTGTAATATGTTAAAAAGGAGATGTGAAATGGGGAGCAGGGCAAAAGAAACCTTCCCCGTTTATGGGTTCTTGATTGTTATGCTCAGTGAAACATTTTTTATGAAGAATTTTTTGAGCCTAGAACTTGATTCCTTGTCTTTGAATATTGAGACAATCAAACCTTAACATTTCTATTTCTGAATCATAATGAGTTGCGTCTTCAGTTTTAGGTGTTTGAATAAGTTTTGGTTGTCCTGATCATCAATTGCGAAAGAGACACTAGTGTAGACTGATGTTGATCATGTAAAAGCCAATCCAGTCGCAGAATATATTTGGCCTAGTAGTACTGATTCCAGGTGATTTTAAACAAGGGTCATCATGACTTGTGACATGGATGTTTAATATTTTGGCAGAATATGGATAGTTGCACTAGCATTTATACTTTACACAAGGGAAGCGAGTGTTTAAGATTTGATCTTCGCTGGATACATGCATTAGCATTTATACTTTCCACAGGGGGGTGAGGGATTAATATTTGATCTTTGCTATCAAAGTTCACGGAACCAAGGTTAATAGAATTCATTGTGCGAATAAGCTATTTCCCACTCCTTTAGCATGACAGAAGTTCAGTACAAAACTGCCACTCAAATTTGACTCATGAATTTAGGCACTACGCTTCTTTTCTCGCCTTTAAAGTTGCCAAAAATGAGAGAGTTTTGTTACGAGGAAGGTCTACTTGTGAAGTTACTTGCATTGACGTAATGTTATCTGTCACAACACATCACTTCAATTGGTGGAAAGAGATTGGGATTACAAACTGACTAGAAGTGGAACATAGTAAGATGGGGGCCGCAGGGGTATACTTCTTGAGATTACTGAGATGGATTCCAATTTGTTTCTCAGACGTGATAATTACATTAAGTTCATTTTTATATATTCACTTAGCACCCTAAGATCGAGTAGTTGAGTTTTATTACTAGAAAATAAATTTAATGTTTTTACTCTTTAAGTAAACTTACTTGGAAGTTTGTCTTTTAAGATTAGCCAAACATGCTGCCAGTGAGAGACAAATTAAGAAGGATAAAGATTTAGACATAGAAATGTAACAAAAAATCATATGGTTCTAGATTGGGGAATACACTGGCTGAATTTTCGCTTTGATGATGTCAAATGTGTAGGGTAATTTGAAGATTATTCACCTTTTCTCTTTCCCGTTATTACACAAACTTAAAGCATCAAGTATAAACTCTACAGATAAAAATAAGACCATACCACCAATAAAGAGTAGAGTTCTCTGCGTAACTCTCGTCCTGTCAACAGAACTCTTTCCTTTTGCTTCACTGTGACGTCTCTTGACTTCAAGCTTTTCTCTCTTATTCTTCTCCAACTCAAGCATTTGTTCCCTCGTCTTAATTCTCCTAGTTCTACCAGTATCATCTTATTCTGAAGTATCTTCCTCTGTCAAGATAAGGGATTGAGCTGACAGCAGTTGAATGTCCAGTTTCTCCTCTGTGGTTCTTGGCACAATGTCTTGTGGATTATCCTTGTCTAACAAAGGGTTTCTGAGTTGTTCTTGGAAGAATGGTCATTCAATGTTGATGAATCCACGTGACTTGGTTCATGGACTGACTAGTTTATTCTGTAGCATAACCAGCATTCTTTGATTCTTGAGGTAGAGCTACCAGCATAATCTTGATTATACCACCTAAATGGAGCGACTTTCCTTCGGTTTTAGGGTTTACGGTTCCAGTCATCCTTCTCCACTAACATCCGAGCGCTTTCATGGAAGGACCAAAGTTTCAAGAATTTCTGCCTGCAAGAAAAAGTATAGAACCTATGTTCTCAAAGTTTGACCACTTATAAACTGGCAGACCAATCTGTACTTCGGAGTCACCCAACAAAAGACTCCAAAGTTAAATTCAGTATTGGGCATGAATGTGAATCTAAACCATATCTGATCAGAAGATGGAACCTTCACGTAAATCCAGATTGTTCCATGTATAGAGAAACTCACTCCCAATGAGATAGGAACCTTCAATAATTAAAGATTAATCAGATCAGAAGAAAAATAAGCTTTTCAACAATTTGTTGCACCCCAATTGCCGATAAACACAAGCTGCACATTTACGTATGGTACCTGTATTTACGGAGTTATAGGAATTTTAGTGACCAAACTATCTTAACATATATCGTCATCTCTCTCTCTCTCTCTATGTGCACATACGTGTCTTCTTGGTAACTAATTCCCACCCGTGTTACATATGAAAATCTAGTGCTGTGATAAGTAGTTTTGAAGACAATTCTTCCTTAAATTTGCAGACAAGGTAGCTACACCTTTTCACTTATTTTTAAATTTAGGCCACTTGATTATATATGATTTTTGCAAGAGGCATAGCGAAGAAGTTTAATTAACCGTTTGTGGGTGTTCTGAAACATGAATGGAGCTTGTATGCAATTCTACGATATGTAATTATGTATTAGTTTCAAGAGATGATTAAATTATCTTTTGTAAGACTTCCAGGAATTGGTCAATATAAGTTTGGGTGGTCATATGCAACTTATTGATGAAGTATGACCAAATGATGACACCGAAATGATATCCTTAATTGCATAAATAAATTAAAAATTACAATAACTGACTCCTTTGTAATTGTTTAAGTTCTATGACGTCAAGGTAAAAACCGAAAAAAGAAGAAAAAATTATTTCCCTTTTTAAACATATTATCTTTGTACTGAATCTAAAGCATTTTTATCAGAATATCCTAAGTTGAGGAGCACATATGCTTCATATTCATGTTATACCTTCTATACAATTACTTTGTTCGATCTATTGTATTGGCCAAGTATGCAATCACATAATTATAGGAGAAGGGGAAATGAGAGAGAAGAAGAAGAGAAAGGAGGGAAAAGAGAAGAGGGGAATATAGGAAGGTGATAGAAAGGGGAGAAGAATTAGATAGACGGAAGCAGACTTTAAGGGAGAGAAAATATCTTTATCTCATTATCTAAATTGTTAGAATTGTAATGCATAAGCTTATCTATATATGGTTTAAACTAGTCATAATTTAAGTAGGAAAATACTATAAAATCTATGAAATTAAACACTAATTATGTTTCCTAAAATAAACATCAAAATTGAAAGCAAAAGTAAATAATTTCTCTACTAATATTTTCATAATTTCTTCTCGTCTTCGACAAGATAGACTACAACTTCTTAATTAAGGAGGACGATCTTTCTTCTTGATCAAATAAAGATAATAACCATAGAGGAAATAATTCTACTATATTGAAACAAAACGTTCATTTAAGTATAATGATCAGTCAAATAGATTATGCCCAATTGAGTGATCCATTTTTTCTATCATGTACAGTCTGTGGCATTTATCATGCAAACAAGCTCTTCTTTTCCTTGACTAGCAGCAGCTCCCGCTAAAGCATTTGTAACTTACTCTAGCCAGATGTACTACCGTTTTGAAAAATCACGCCAAAGAAAGTAGTAATCAGATATAAAAATTACTATAAAAGCATATATGCCTAAATTGTTTGTTAAATGCAAGCTCATACGTCTCATCATTGAAAACAATTTGTCCATTAAACTTGGCATTAAAATCAAAACAATACGGAGCTAAAGCAATATAACACTAATTAGTAGGCAACAACCAAATGTCTCAATAGGAAATGTGTGATAACGAATAATGATCTTGGAAAACAATGTGGCAATTCGGGGAGTATCAGGCAGTGGAGGTAAAGCCATATAAAGTCATCGTTGAAGTCGAACAAAAGAGTAGGCAAAAATAACTTCGGCATGAAATTGATGACATGTGGACTGTTTTAGCTTAGATGGCAACACCACAGATAATTCTCTTATCGCCATCAGAGATCTCAACAATAGAAACCTTGGAATCGTCCTCAAAAGTAACACAACTAGACCTGGGAAGTGACTGTGGGGACCAGGGTGGTAGACTTATCGTATGACATCCTTGACGAAGACAGAAGAATATGTACTAAAGGTTGCCTATTGGTAAGCGTCGTCTAAGAATTGTGGTGTGGGAATATCGTCATGTAAGATTTTAGGATTCAAACCATTGAGAAATCTAGACGTGATAACGTGGGGGAGTTTCATAAATGCTGCAACCGTGCAATAACTTTTCGAATTATACATTTTTTTAAAACGATCAAGGCTACAAACCAAACACTTCAACAAAAGTGAAGTTATGAAGATAGCAAGCCTACTGTAGACAAAATCATTGTCCAAGCATTCAGCGTTTCATGCAAGACCTGATTGGATTGCACCAGTGTGGCTCCTTGATTGGAATTGAGCTACAAAATTTTTTATTAATATTAATTTGTTGAGAATTAAGAACAATTATGAAAGAACTAATCTAATTCAAAAGTATACTTAACTGGTGAGTAGTCCCGGCTACAACAAAGAAAACGAAAAAGGGGGGAAAAATTGTATGAACAGTACCATCAATAGTTAAGTTTTTTTGGTGCAACTAACTATTAACAATCCGACAACAAAATTATTCTCTTGTTGCTGCCCCTTCTACCTCTTCGTTTTTTATTATGGATTTTTGGATCTTAAAATAAGCACTTCAAAATTGGAAACTAAATTAAATAACATCTTTACTAATATTCTGATTAATTATATACATCTGTTTTATTTTACTATGAGCAATATACAAATTATGATTTATGCATGTGATCGTCCATGTCTTGCATTATCCCTGCTCATACCTGCAGGAGAATCCAGATCTGTGGAAATGGCTGACTGGTCAGGAACAACCCCCGGATGTAGTAAACATAAATCCTGTAAGACATGTTTTAGAAACCAATTTTTCTGTATATCTCTCTCCCGATCAATGAGGACCATGACTTCTTTTGTGATATGACTTAATTTTCATCACAGGTATTTGTAGCTGTGCGAGACAAGGTTATGAACAACCTCAACAGCCATGCTTCTCCTGAGACTCGAGCAACTCCTGGGCGGCCTTGGGTAAGAGGTTGGGACGATTTCAAGAAAGGTCGAGATGCCCCTACAACTGGGAACCAGTAGTTGCATTTGGAGATGAAAATTTCAAAAATATCGTCATCTTCTGTAGGGTAGCCTGAATAATGTTGGGAAATTCATGTTGTGTAGTCATAGCTTATCCTTCCGTGGTACTCTGCAAAAATAATGTTTCAATGTCAAGCTTGTGAACTGTTAGTGAGCATTCAACAGATGTATTGACATTGAGTTAAAGTGTAAACGATGATATCTTTTTCTGTGCATTGATTTTGCTACAAAATAGTATAAGAAAATAATGTTAAATTCTACGGAGTGCTCGGTTATAGAAATTAAATTCTGCTGAAGTGCTTTGGTGGATTCATACTTCTGTAGCCAAAACTTGAAATATTTCTGGGGATCCTAATAGAAAAAATGCACAGAAACACCAAATTTATTATCAATCAAAGTAGAGATGGAAAATTGGTTGATACCATGCAGATAATAAGAAATTGGTTACATAACAAGCAAGAATTCAAGAAAATAGATTCTTGTCAGAGACTCGGAATTCAGAACAGGGAACAATTTTCTGAGCCACATGAAATTGGATGCAGTTGAGACTGGAGGCAGAGGGTACAAATTAGCCGTGCGTTTTGTTCGTAATCTGAAAAACATGAACACATACAAACATTCATATGTAGGCATTCGTTCTTTGAACTAGCAAAATGGCGTTGTCATATCAACAGATGTGAAGTTTGTAATTCAGAAGAAGGGAAAATGGGAACAAGGCAGGCATACGAATGGAGCAAAATGAACGAACGAATTGGTTCCCGTTTAGATGTCAACGTGAAGTTTATTTGGTGCGACTTTCAAATATGAAAAAGATAAAAATTAAGCTGTAGCTTGTTTTGATTTTCAGTGTGTGATGTTTTGATCATTTCAGATTTGGATATTCCGGTAAATTAATTATCCTTTGTGTTATGTGTCGGGTGCAAGTTTGTGCAGTGGGCTATGGAATGAATTGTTACTCCTTATGTTTTATTTATCCTGCTGAGTTGAACGCATTGCCCCAGTAATGGTATTAGCCATCCATCTATATTGTTTTTGTTGATATTGTAGCTGGGAGATTTGCTACAAAAAAGAAAAGAAAAAAGACATGGCTGACAATCAACCAACTTCGCCGTTGGAAACATTACATTAGTGATGCACGATTGACTGCTAGTAAGCTAGCATAACAAAGAAACAATGACTAAAATTATTGTTCAAAATCAATAAATTAGAAAGTGGAATAAAATTGGAAAATTTGAGTTTTGCCCATGCCACGGTCGGTCCTGAAAATTTATAGGCCCTAGACTATAAATTATCATGAGGCCCCTGCATATAATTTTTTTACAAGCATATTGGCATCAAACATGACCAAATTGAACAATTTCTAATGATAAGAAATATTATACCTTGTTACTCAACGTTTGATTGGTTCGAGAATCAATTTTCGATTTGAAGAAGTTTAATATAAAGATTTTATGAAAATCAGTGAGGTATATGGGGATGGTGCCTACTATTTATAATAAAAAATATCTTATACTTAAAAACAAAATTCAAAAGCAACAATAAATTGAAAGACATTATTGGTAGAAATGCCCCTACTTTATTTGCACTACCATAAAATATCTAATGTAAGAAAATTGAGGAAATTTCATAATAGTCATTTTTTGGGCTTCCAAAAACTTTTTGAGGCTCCATTATACCCTGAGGCGCAAGGCCACTAAGGAACCGGCCCTGGTCCATGCATAAGTACGCATGGCTGGAGCCTGCAGAAACTACCATGCATACACATGGATTATACAATGCGTACACATATAATTAAAAATTAGTCGTTGACTGATTTTTCAACTTTAAACTTGGTATCCTTTTGGATGAAAAATTGCCTCTTTTCATCATATTTTGGCACTATTTCGTGTAATATTGGTTGAGATCTATAAATAGGTGATTAATGATCAACGCGATACACATTTAACCACTTGAGATCAAATTCCATTCCACAAGAAAGATTAAAAACTCTACTCTTTCATATTCAAAACTCTATTTTGTGTTCTTGAGTTTTAAAGGAATTTGAATAGTGTTTAAGTGTATATTCCTTTTCAAAGCTCGATAAATCCTACAAACCATTTTTCAAGAAGTCCCTTTAAACAACAAACAATCCAAGAGGTAGGGGCGGAGATGGGGGAGGGCTCTACTGGGCTGTAGCCCAGTATTGCCCAAGCCCATATCCAAGAAAATGGAAGGAATGATCCATTAAAAATAGAAATTTAATCACTTAACCCACCATCAATCCAACAGCAGTCCAACAGCCAGTCCCAACCCAATATCACTATTATTTTGAGAAAAATAAGCCCATATGCCCAACACTTTGACCTTTTGTTTATAGTGTATATGTGCATATATATATTAATTTACTTTCATGTATTAAATTTTTTGTTATAGTGTTTCATAATTGAGTATATATAATTAACATTTTTTTGATCATGATATAATTAACATTTTTGTTATACATTAATTCATGTGTTTCTATTTTCAAACTTCTTGATCTACACACCCGATTTTTTTAGCTCGCACGGTCGTACTCGTGTGGTCCTTCAATTCATCGTCTTGAATACTAGTGATGAGATTTTCTTAGTTTAGTTACTTTTTGGAACAAAATGGATAATAGTTTTCTTGTTGATTGTATGAAACTTTACATCGAACGAGAATTTACTATGAATTTATATGTAGATTTATTATAGATGATTTTATGATGTAAAATCTTGTTAGGTGCAATTTTAGATAATGTTATATTATAACACACACACACACACACATATATATAGTTACATTTGAATTACATAAACTTTTTTAAAAAAAATGCCCCCTGAAGTCGAATTCGAGCACCATAGCCCCCCGCAGCGTATATTCCTGGCTCCGCCCCTGCTAAGAGGAGACGAATATTGTTTGAGGACAACGATTATGTGTTTAAAGCCTTTGAATTTTTTTTGAAGTTCTTGATTCTTATTTTTTTGTTTCTTCTTCTTTCCTCTTATTTGGAAGTATTATTCCCAACAAAAATGAATAAAGAAGAGTGCTTAGCATCTTTACCCTGTGTTGAATAGAACTCAAGAATCCCATCATCAATTTTAATGGAGTTGCATCTCGGCTAGCTGTTTTTTAACTGAGCTTCTCCATATATATTAGATAGGATTGCTGGGTTTCGAAATATGTAACATTCTTCCCGTTCAGTTCTCTTGGTACCGTTTCAAACATATTAGAATGAATTATTGATGTGGTAAGCTGCTTTTAGGAAATGGCAACTTCGTTTCGTTTATATTTGTGGTACTTTCATCCCTCCTTCCATACACAAGTGAATGATGTTGGAATAATTCCATCAATAATGCTAGTGGTACATCAGTCATTACCTAATGTTGTACCTAATGCTGACGTGGCGACAATATGAAGCCAAAATCTCGTGAAGTTTGAAAAACCGTGAAAAGGACAGAAACACCCTTACCAACTGCACCGACAAAACCACTTGCCTGACCCATTTCACACCACAATAATTTGAAGAGAAAAAATCAGGCGATTCGGAGATGATTCGGACCGTTGACGGCGAGCAAGTAGAACTGCACCGACAAAACCACTTGCCCACTTGAATGGAACCCTTTTCTCACCATTTGAAGAGAACAAATCAGGCGATTCGCACCATTCTCCACACGATTGAACTGGTCGGACCGTCAACGGCGAGCAAGTAGACTACTAACTACCAACAGCACGACAAGTACGAACTATTGTAAGGGCGTTTATCCTTTGTTATCCTCTTTTTGTACGAAAGGAGTTCGATCTAAAATCCATACATTTCTCGAATTTGACAGAACAACTCGCCCGTGTCTCCACCCGTTCTACAAAATCGATCTGGGCTTACCTTCGATGGCGAGCACTTGTGACTGCAGACTCAAGGTTTTTCTGAAGGACTGGGACTTCGGCACATTCCGGTAATTTCTTCAGAACTTCGGTTACCTTCGACGACGAGCACTTTGTTGTGTTTTAAGTTGATTTCAATTACTGGATTAAGAGCAGGAATGCTTGTATTTTTTTTGGGATTCGTCTTTTCTTTTGCAAGAAGCACTGTAATGGAACGGCTCAATTATTTTCTATATAAAGGCTATGTCTCCTCTCTTCTCTATATGTTTTATTGGTCTACTCCATTGATAGCTAATACTTTGTGAGGAGCAGGGAGGGGCAGATCTTGACTATTATTACAACTGTTATTCATATCAACAATGGCTTCCGCAGGTATGAATTCGTTTTATTATATTTAATTTTGGTGATTCTTGATTCTTAGCATGATTAAATTAAAATTCAACAATTGGTATCAGAGCAGCGTGTTAAGATCAGAATCCATAATTAAAACTAATTATTGTTTTAAACCTTTTTGTCCTTGCATTAAAAGGTTTCTGTGCATATAAAACGCAGTTGCAGCACCGCCGAGAAAACTTTTGACTACAAAGGCAGTAGCACCGGCAGGTGCAGCATGGACGGTATCCGATGCCGCAGAAGAAAAAAAAAATTTTGGACGTTTTCTGCAGTTAACGGGCAATGGGGGCTCTTGTTGTAAATAACTAATCTTCAAGCCCCTATTTGCAATTATCAGTTGGGGGTCATATTGTAATTACTTAAATAAGGACCTGCCATGCAATGTTAAATATGAAGGACCTAGTTTTCAGTTTCAATCTAGGGTTAATATGTAATTTTCAAAAGGTTATCAAATTTAAACTTTTAAAAGGTTTGACCCTAAAATTTCAATTTTGACCCAATTAAAATTTTATTTAAACTTGACCCGATTAAAATCATATATTGAATAAATAATAAAATTAATTGACGAGTTTTGTATTATTTCATTAAAATGTTATGTATTGCCATTATTTATGCATTAAATTTCATTTTGAAATTTTGTTGTCAATTTCGTCTCTCAATATTAATCATATATGGATTTCTTGTCTTTCATCAATTAATGATCATGATTTGTTACATAATTTTTGTTCTATCATTAAATTTTTCATGGGTTTTAAGACGATTCTTGTTTTTCCCACTATGAGAGAAATATTTTGAAACAAAAATGGGTGGTAGTTGTCAAAGTGGCACACTAATCATTATTTATTCGATTTTCTCTACAATAAAAATATATAATATTTTTTGCGCAACAATTTTGATTTATTGCATATAACATCTTGTCCAAAGGTGTTGTTATATGTGATATTTTTGGAAAATGCCATAAGGCAGGTAATGAACTTATTTTGGTT